TCCCATCTTGCTATGTTTAATTTCCTTTTTTGAGATAAATATCAAGGCATTAATAGGGATGCATATTTCAAGGTATAATATGGTATTCAACAAATTAAAAAATATGACAATCAGTTCATACAAAAAATGGCCAGCCATTTCCTATTCCTGACTTGGTATGTATTGATGAACAGTGGAAATGGCTTCCTCATAATAAATACCCTGGCTGCTTGTAGAAAAATACTATGCTAGTTGTCTGTTACATACACGAATTGGCCATTACAATCTGCGAGTCAATATTCAGACATAAAACATTAAATATACTTATTAAATAACATTTTCAACAGAGGACTAACAGATGGGACAGTAATTCACAATAGTAAGACAAAAACCTACTAGCTAACAAATTAATCATAAAAACTCAACAATCAGACAATTAGGCTGTTAAACAATGCTACAGGGTTGAATTTCACCTCTGAGTATGCCGTCAATAGAAGTATATTTGTTTTCTTGCACTGGCCAACTAGTTATAAATATCACTGCATACAAATCAATTATATAACTGAGTTATTAATTTAGCATAACAGCAGCCTGCACAATCTATGCTTCAGGAGAGCAAAAAAATAATGTAACAATGGATAACACATTTGTTGTTTGGCTGCTCTATTGAAGTCATGCATCTGCAGTCTCAACAGGTTCAGAATGAGCAAAAAGTTTTCTTCATGTTTACAGCAACCTTTAGTTAGATGGCTAACACAGTCTTAAGACACAGCTGAAAGTTTCGCATCACTCTGGAGGACACTTGAAAAAGTTTGGCGACTGGTAAATTGAGAGTAACAAGTGCAGTTTCTTATTCATTATTCCTGATTAGATCAATGAATGCTACAGCTTCAAAGACAAAACATATTTTAATTTATTACCTATAGAAAACGAGAGGCGCTCTAAACTTTTAACATAGCTCTGCTCTACTTTTTCACACACAGTTCTTCCTTCTTCTGGACTCGTAAGAGATGAAGACACGTTCACTGAGGCGTAGTTCTTTTTGATGTTTTCTTCTGTGGTTTTCTTCACCAACTTGTACTTCTCTGCCAGTGTCTTCTCAAATTTCTGGAGGAGTGATGTAAGGGCCCCTACATAGCTTGTGAACTGGGGGACCACATCAGGCTGAAAGGCACAAAGTATATATGGATGGAACTGAATAACTGTAGAATCTTTTACAGCAACTAATAACAACTATATTTTTAGCCAAGATAAAAATAATCACAGGCATAACTATTCATTCTCTTTCTCTCTCCTAACTCACTTATTCTCTTCTAAATACAGGAAACATTGGCTTTTAAACTACAATTAGATCAAAATACTTCTCATGCCTAAAGCTACAGCTATAGGGTTCACAAGATCCTGCAGCTACTTCTCTATCTCTTTCCTCCTCCACTATTCATGTCTGATGCTTGATAATGCATCATAGAGCCAGGTTATGTATGCATGCTTTCTCATATATGCATACTTTCTTTGCTGTTTAAAGTACTCCACATTAATAATTTTTAACCTTTATGAATTTACTTTTTCCACATTAACATACACAAAAAACAAGTACCAATCACATCTTTGTGTCAAGGATGATGTCTGTGTTGTAGTTTCCAGCATCATCCCAAGGCTGGATACACTGTGCTCCAAGAAACTTACATACATACATACATACATAAATATGTACATACATGCCTACACTGACAGGCAAGCAGATACATAGAGACTGGGAAATGTGTCATAGTAATTGTCAGAAATGCTTTGTTGCTGGGGGTCGTGAATCTATCAAAGAAATCTGTAGGGATTGCAGCCAAAAAAGTTTGAGAACCCCTGCCTTAACCAACAAGCAAATTTATATTTATACTAAAGGGTAACCAATGTGCCCTCAGGCAGCTTCTGATACGGAGAATCAGTAAATATTTAGAAATTCAACCCAACTTTTATTTTTGTTCTTTTTTCTTATTATTATTATCATTATTATTAAAAAGAAAGGCAGAAACTAAAATATGAAGGAAAACATTCATTGACATGATACATATAAAATGAGACAAACAAAACAATTGGCTCACCATTTTTCTAAAGATTTATTGAATTTGGTGATTCACATAGTTTAAACACTTTTGTCTGATTTACGAAAAATAGCACGTTTGTTGGGAAAATAAGGTCTTAAGTGTGTAAATGCAGGTAAAATTTGTTTCATGCACACAGTTCAGTGGACGAGTGATTTCTTTAAAAAGACATCCATAATCTATTTTTCCTTATTATTATTATATATTTATTTATTTCTTATTCAAAGTCTGATACTGAGTGGAGATTAGCTTTGCCAGGAGAACCTGGATATTCAAAGACAGTTCTGAAATTCTTCAAAACCAATTCCAAATAAAAAAGTCACACCATTCCCCTTCTCCCATGAAAAACTTTTATTCAAATACAAAATGGCCTTACCAGTGTCACAGGTTCTTTTCTCTTTTTGTTCTTCTTAGCTACACCTGCTTTAATGGGCTTAAGAAAAACGAAGCAACACCCGAGGAGGATGGCCACAATGCCAAGTGTCTGCGCTAGGTGGTGTAGTTGGGCCAGGGCAGGAGGGTTAACCCCAGGCACTATCTCCAGGCAGGAGGTCTGAAGTGCCTCCATGTGGTGCAGGTGTGATGTCACCAGCTCCTCCACCTGCTCTCGGCACTCCTTTATCATTACTCCGCTTGAGTTCTCTGAATCTCCTAGAAATTGAAGTAGGAATGAAGTATGTGTTAACTATGGGGTTGGTGGCATTATGTACAAGTGTACATTACATGTACATAACAAAATAAGAGAAAAGATCAATATGTTTTCATTAGGAAACATAACCATTTATACCGTAAATATATTCAGGAATCTAAGAAATCCACATCCAAATAAACTTTTGGCCATGATACCTCCCCCTGCACATACCTGCTGATCCCTGAACAGTATTGTGTATGTGCTGAAGAATTTGTGCATGTTTGACTAGGATGGGGACGTAACCTCCTGACAGAAACAAGTAAACTCTGGACGGATCAGGACCTTGGAGGGGGAGCTGGAAACATTAAGTTAGAGGCAATGAAAATTGGTGGCCTCATATTATCACATATATTTTTGTGAAATGTTTCTAATTCATTACATAACCATATATGAAACACACACTCTTCATCAATAATTAGTTTCTAAATATTGAATAAAACCTAAAATCTAAGAGATCAGTTACAACTGATTTTCGGATATATACTTGTGGAGGTTTGCAATTCCTGTATGTGCTAGATTCTTTGTATTCCTCCTCCAACTGCGTAGTGAGGTCTGCAAGGTGCATTGTATCTGTTGATGCAGTTGCCTCACCATTCACACAGCTGAAATAAAGGGGCTGAATGAGTATGTTTTCTCTTAATGTACTCCCTACTGAAAATAGCTCAGACAAAACATACAAGCTATAAGGTACTTAAAGTGAGGGAGATTCAAGCATCTAGAAAAAGAAAAAAAAGGAAGAAGAAAGACAAATAGAAAGAATGAAAAAAAGGTCCTAGATATCTATGACTTATAATGAATGATACCACATTACAGTTCCACAATGAAACTGCCCTTTGTAGATAAAAAGACATCATGCTGAACACAACACAAACCTATTCTCCTTATTAGCTGAGGCTTGTTCACTAGCTGCCTTTGAGTGTCCCAGTTTGGTTGCAACACCAACTAGTCTCAAGATCACATTCCGCAGTCTGAGCATAGTGATGTCAGCAGCAGTGCTGATTTTGATGTCATTCTCTTGTAGACATCTTAAGAAAGAAAGAAGAATTAGGTGAAATACACAGATCTAAATATCAGAACAACAATAACAAAAACTCATATATTTTGATATCTACTTTCAATTAAATTTCTTCCTCCTGTGAACTATCATAATCTTATATTAGGAATTTCCAAAAATGCTAGAATCAGCAAGCAATTAAATCAAACTAGTTTCTGTTTTGTATGCAATGAAAAACAGAATGATCAATATTAATTTTACATTCTGGTGTACAAGATCCTTTGTTGTTTAGCAACGGCCTCTCACGAATCTGACCACTAAACCTTATCTGGTGTGCTAAAGCTTTGAGAGAATGAAATTATGGTGAATTCAATGCAAAATGATAATTACAATATTTAATCCTTAAAGTGGAATGAACATGATAAAGAGGTCTATTCTTGACAGTAAGGCTGACTTGCATTTGAATATGGTACACATTTGAAATGTACTGATTTGAGTTTATCATCCTCTCTGCTACCTTCCCTTGCATACTGACACTCCATTGGTGTCAAGATTATTTTGCCACATTTTTACTGTGCTTTTTTCTTTCTTTTTTTTCTTCATCATGAGAGCTTACAAAAAAGAAAAAAAAGGGATAGTTGAAAAGATGTTGTAATGATGGATAAAGTAACATATGCAAACAATACTCTTTCATGATGAAAATATGTCTCCATCCTAGTCATATTTCAATCTCTTATTGTCTCCAATGCAGGTGAACTCACTTGTCTCTTGGTTCCCAAGAATTCATAACACGTAGGTCTCTGTTATCACACAGTTCCTTCCAGTTAATCTTGTCCATGATGGGGTCTATGTCCATCTGCCGCACTGTGTCCACCAGCTGGCTGTGTGATGTTATCTGGAAAGTGAAAAAACAATGAATAAAGAGATAAATTTCAGGTAAGCTCTGCCAGAGAGCACTAGAATACTCACTGAAAAACTATTAACTATGCAGATAAATGGAGCACAAATGGGATGTGGGTGAATTTTTACATTGTGTAATCCTGCTTGTGACATGTATATTGGGCCAACATTTCCATAATTCATTTGTAAAATATGATTCTATAATACTGATGAGAATAATAACGCTACTAGTAATGATGCTTTTAACCCCTTGGTGCCGGGTGATGCCGATCGGCGTGTACACAAAGAGCTCGAAAGCTGGCGTGCAGCCGAACGAGCCGGCGGCGCGCCAAAGCGCGGC